AGCATTCAAGCAAAGGTTAGACAGCTGTTTGCCTGGGAAAGGAATTGGACTATAAGATTCCTTTCCATCATATTATTTTATGAATCTCTTTACATAATATCTTCCCAATATTCAATTGGATTGGAAAAATAAAAAGGCAGGGAAAGCAAGCACAGCATGTGTTCTGGGTGTTTTTCTACCCCTTCTACCAGCAGTATACATGAGTATTTAAGCTCTCTGCTTGTGTTGCCTCTATGTGTACATGCACACTTGGAAGCATAACATTTAATGCACATGTTCTTTCATTGCTCAAACTCCTACACCAAATTTGGTCTTGATTTTTTTCATTTCATTTTTTTTATTTTATGAGATTCTCATAAAGAGAATCTCAAGATTTTTTTCCATAATTTATTTCCAACATTCAATTGGATTGGGACAAATAAGAATCATGCTACTTAGAGGTTAAGTAAAAATATGCAGAACAGCATAAGAAGCATCTGGGACCTGTGTGTGAAATGGGTCAATCTGACAAAAGCTGTGCTGTCCTGTTGTGATACAAGCCTAGCTCTCTTTGTACATATTGTTACTTGGTGTAATTATCCAAAAGTGAGGAAAGATTTGATAGTGCAGTGCTGCTTTCATCATGGGCCTTTTCATCATGGGCCTGGGCAACAAAAAGTTAGCTACTGGTTCTGCCGAACTGGTGTGAACTGGCTGAATCTCACCACTGAACTTAATGTATAATCTAAAAAGTTCCCCGTGATGGTTTAAATGGATAGTCTGTTTTAAAATTGAGATACTGTAGGATTGGATTGTTTTCTATCAAGGCTCCTGATTCATTTAAAAATACTTCAGATCCTATGAAAATTGGTACCAATTCAGTGGTTTTCCTAGGGGTTATACAGAAAATAAAGAAGTACTATCAATAAAATCATATTCTACTATAATCCCTGGACCCATTCTCTGATAGTATTCTCTTTTTCCCTTATGGATTTTGCTATGATATTTTTCACTTGAACAGAGACTTGGAATGTACTGAATTGGCTTTTACTCCTTAATTTGGCAACAGTATTTGCTCAATGGTGCCACAAAAGTGCCACATTTAAGATTCTGTATATATAAAATAGGATTACAGACTATACTGTAATTATATGGCAAATGTAAACATTTCTTGTTTTAATTACTGCAGTCAAAATTAATTTGTCAATTTGAAAATGTGTGGACCTCATCTCCTAGAGTTCTTCAGCCAGCAACATCTTCAAGTTGGCTAGGTTGACATACACAGGCAAATTCTGCCCACAGCCTGGAGTTTGATTTTGATGGGCTCAAGGTTGACTCAGCCTTCCATCTTTCTGAGATCAGTAAAATAAGGGCCCAGATTGTTGGGGATAATAATGCTGACATAGTAAACTCTCAGAGTGTTGTAAAGCACTGTGGAGTGGTATATAACTCTAAGTGCTATTGCTATTTTATTCTTTGTCAACTTTCAATGACATCCTGGATGTTAGGATACTGTGGTTGTTCTTCTCTTTGATACTTGGATCTTATTTCATAGAAAGTGTGAGTTCACATGAGAGAAACTGTCATTTCAGAAACCTGGACCCAAGGCACTTAGTCTCAAAGATCATGGTAACAAATCCAGGACAATATTTTTAAATGAAATAGCTATCTGCACTAAAACAAGCGTGTCAGTAAATGTAAGATTTTCATTTCAGCATTCTAATGTACATGGTTCTCTGCTTTATCATGAGTCCTTTTTATTGGGCTGCTAAAAAAAATGACCACATTTGCTTCTTTTAAGAAATAATATTGGCTAGCTCTGGACTTAGTGATCTGTAATAACACAAATGTGAGAACAATTATGATATTTTGAAATACTAATACATATGAATTTTATTTTTCACAGCTTTCATAAGATATAGAGATATAAGGAAACTACAAACATTAACAATTTGTTTGTTTTTGATGTTAGACGTATCAAACATGAAACTAAATTTCAGATATAATGAATATTTTTGTATGTGCAAGGATGAAACTATTAAAAGAATTTAAAATCCATAGATAATTCACAAATACTTTAAACAGACTTCTAATATCAATGTTTTCAAATATATATTATTGTGGAATCACTAACCAAAATATCATAAAAAAATACATTTTGTTTTGCATGTTTTCTGTACCACCAACTGATTGTTATCTTTCTGCAAGTTAATCCATTCTGTGGATGTTTACATTTTATACTAAATATCCAAGAAATTACTTTACATTCATGATGGGAGGAAATGAGTAGAATAAAGTACTGTTATTAATAAATAGAAATAAATATAATTTCATTTACAAATTTAGCAAGCCAACATTTAAAAATAATTCTGCCAGCAGAAAAAAAGTGTTTTTAATAGATGTGGCAATAACTGAAAATAAAAAGAACTGATGTATGTTTTTTGTTTAAACAGAGAGCAATGTGATCTGTTTTCAAGATGATACTTTGAAATGAAGATGACAATAAAAGTAAATGCATAATTTTATGTTGATCCTTTAAGAAACAAATGCAGATGTTCAGTTGGAATTAAAAAGGACAATTGCACTCACATTTGAAATTGACTACCTTTTGCCATGTGATCAAAGACTTAAATAAAATTTTGTCTCAGCTTATGAAATAGTTCTACTTTGACTACCTTTGTCATGTGATCGAAGACTTAAATAAAATTTTGTCTCAGCACTATGAAATAGTTCTACTTTTATTGATGCATGCATGCATCCTACTTTCCTTTAGACTTTCCAGTAGAACATCTGGACATCATATTCTATCTTTTCTCTACGTAATTTGAGTCCTTTATGTTTGGGGAATCTTTATGCAAGAGAATGCTTTGGACAACAGAATTCTCCTTTTCTATTTATATCTTGATGACTTATGGCAGTGTGATGCATCTTTCTCTTAAATATATTGCTAAGCTATACTCTTATTAGTTCCAGTCAACATCACCAATAGTGAAGAATTGGTATTGTAACAGGTGAAGGAACACAATGTTTTACTTAAAGGCATTAAAGTAATGTTTTAATTAAAGGTCTTGCACCCACAGAGATATTAATAGAGATAAAGGATCCTTCTACTATCTTCAAAGCAGATGTTATCAGAATATATATTTTTCTTAAAGGAAAGTTGTAATATACTATTATAGCAATGTTAAACAAGTAATCCATATCCTTTGACTGTTTGGCAATACAGGATTGACCACCTGGAGACTAAGATAGCCAGTTTTAAATAGCCTTAGAAGCATTGATCCAATGTTCTGTTAAAAAGACAGAGATAAGTCCAACAGTGGGTATGACTATTAATCTCTGCCTTCTTTGCTTGCAGTTATTTGACCATTATCTGACACTGAATTAAAATACTGGATATAAATCCTCACTATGATCAAGGGTACTTTTAATTAATGTAAAATTATAGCTGCATGATTTTCTTTGCACAAAATAAGTGTTTTACAGATTTAAAAGTATGCAAAAAGTATACATAGAAATATAGTGATCAGGAGCTCTGGGGATTGATAACAGATGCTAAAAGAATACAGACAGCACAGGTGCTTAGTTTGCAATTAGAAAATAAATCCATCTGATTTTAATACCTACTAATCCTACCAGAGGTTCTATACCAGGGTGTCAAACTGCCGGCCCGCGGGCCAGATGCATCATGGCAAAACTACAACCACCCCATTGCTGGCAATGGGAAAAAAAAGTCATGATACATCGCAACATATCATGTGATGTTGCGAGTTTGACACTCCTGTTCTATACTATCAATACCTCTTTCTTTTTATTGCTGACATAGCCCTAGACACTGAGTATTCTTTTGGTTCATTTTTTGTATACTTTAATGGGTCTTGTTCATATATTATAGAGCATTAATATAGTATGTCTATTTATTTGTGTACACACGTGTCTATGTCCACAGGGATGGCGGATGAGTGCCTTTTTGGCATCACCCCTTATTTGGTGGGTTCTAGTGTAGCGATTGTCAAACTTGGCAACTTTAAGATATGTAGAGTTCAATCTCCCTGAATTCCCAAATGCACATTTACCACATGCAAATTTGAGTACCTGTGAGACATTTTCTGTGTATCAAGTTGCCCTGTGACTCCCCTCTCCCTGGAATCTAAGTATCTAGAAGCTACAGCTGGTGCAAAATGTGATGGCACTGGTAGTTAAATGAACCCCAAGACTGATGCATGTTGAACCTCTGCTCTGCAAGCTGTATCGGTTGCCAGTTTGCTTTTGAATTCAGTTAAGTCAAGATGCAGGTTATGACCTATAAAGTGTCTCCCAGATACATTGCACTGAGCTGATAGTAAGCAATCATTATAGCTGTAATCTGGATCATCTAGAACAGACATGTCAAGCTCGTGACATCACGTGATGTCACGCAACGTATCGGAGCTTTTTCACCATTGCCGGCAATGGGGTGGGCGCGGCTCCGGTATGATGAAACCAGCCTACGGGCTGGCAGTTTGACACCCCTGATCTAGAAGATACCAGTAAGAAAAGGTTGTATTATCAAAACTTTTCTGTATTAACGCCCATTTTGAAAGGAACTGTACTAAATAAACAATAGCAGTGATGCAGTAATACTTCTGAAAGGCAGTTAAAATTGTGTGAAAGTAAACAGAAATTTTCCACAGATATATTTTGCCAAAAACGCATAGAGAGGGAAATAGCTTCAGAATGAAGCTTTTGTTCAACTACATTTAGAAACAGTGCTATATTCTGAATGTGATACTTTAGTTGTATATGTGGCAAGTGTTAATTGGACATAGAAAAATATTTTATCTAAATATGGATTTATTCTATATTGATTACACTTTTACCCTTATTTCAAAACTTTATGGTATTACTGATATACATGAGTTCAGTTCTGTACTTTTCAGGCTTTTCAGGTGTATGTAATTAAATGTAGTACAGGGAGGATTTGATTATAGTTAAGCAGGGAGTTATTTCACTTTCTTGAAATACACCTTTCCTTTCCCTTTCCTCTCAGGACTCTGAAGCAAGTCTTCTACAGAACACCTATGTATAAGAGAACACAAGATAATTTCAGAGATTTTTCTATATGTAGATGGATTAGATGTTCTACCACACGTTATCTGCCACCAAACTCTGACACGGGAAGGCATGATGCCTGCATTCTTTGTTTAAGACGTTCCTCTTCATAACATGAAGGTAGGCCCCAGTTTTCATAAGGATGAAGTATTTCAGGTGGTCCAACCCTGCAGAAGAGGAGTAGTGTCGCTTTGAGCAACTAACAGCAAAAAATGTGCTGCCATATTATCACTCAACAACCAGAGATCCCTTTTTTCTGGAAGTGCGGATTAAATCTTCTGAGGGTCGATAAGAAAGAGAAGTCATCTTTGTCGACAAACTGGAATGCCTGACATTTGGAGGGATATATTTGAGTAGCTGAAAGAAGTATTTTCTAAAGTTTTTTCCCCAAAAGCCATAAAAGACAGGATTCAGGCAGTTGTTAAAGTAAGCTAAGCAGATTGTGAAGGGCATAGCTGTATCCACAATATCTTCAACATCACAGCTCTTAATCACATCAAGCTGAATCAGCACATCTATAAAAGTAAATATTTGATGAGGAATCCAAGAAAAAAAGAAAAAAAGAACTATTGCAACAATCAACTTGAAGATGTCGTCACCTCTGCCGTTATTCTTCTGAAACTGGTAAGCCTTTTTCAGAGTTTTCCAGATTAATATGTAGCTTATTAAAATGATCACAAAAGGAATTAAGAAGCCCAGAATATTTTTAGATAGGCCTAATCCAATGTTGATAGTTATGCGACTGGTTGAATTCCTGCGTGTGTCATACCAAAAAGCACACACTGTGATGTTTTCATTTTCAAGGACATATGCGCGGCGGTGAATCCCAACAGGCAAGCTGGCAAGGACAGCCAATAGCCAGATAATGATGCAAGTTACCCGGGCAACAAGCATTGTACGTCGAAGGCGGGCCTTCATGGGATGCACTATTGTTAAGTAACGATCTACACTTAGGCATGTCAAGAGAAAGACGCTGGCATACATATTGAAGGTTGCTGCAACTGAAGCAATCTTACACAAGCAGTTGCCAAAAGGCCAATGGTACTTCATGGCTGTTGTAGCTGCCCATAATGGTAGAGTTACTAGGAAACACAGATCTGCCAGAGCTAAATTAAGCAGAAATACACTGGCCACAGTTTTCAGTTTCATGTAGAAGTAAATGATAATCACAACCAAGCTGTTTCCAAATATACCAATGACAAAGATGATGCTATAAACAGTTGGAACCATAACGAAAATGTAGCTGTGTCTTCCCAAGGAGGGACAGTCAATGGGATTCTTTTTATCAGTCTCTTCTGCAGAGATGTTTAGATTCATTGTGATCAGTTTTGCTAGAGGCTGTGCAGGAAATTGATACCAACACCTGAGAAGGGAAAATTAAAAGGTTATTATTCTTGTTTTCTGGTTCAATGTATTAAAAGCACTCACATGACAGCTCCTTAACATCATTTTATTAGATCTTTAAACTACTATAATACATCAGGTCCCTTTGATGGGTTAGATACTTTATCCAGTAGTTTGGTCTCCTTTGGCATATAAACTTGTCATTGGGCAGATACCATATTAAACTAGCTGAGTGTGCCCAATGATACCCTTGAAGCAACACTTTTGCTTAGTATTACATTGTATTTTATGGTTTCTTCCCATTCATCCATTTGTTGATATAACAAATTAAATAGCATACAGACTTAAGCCTTGGACTGAACTCTGAGACCTAAGTAATAGTTTAAATATTCCTTGAATTTAGGTATAACCAGTGCTTTTTTTTTTTTTTAAGACTTCACTAGAACAAAAGGTGACCTTGTAATCTGGACACATTACAGCACTGTAAATAAATGAGATCTTGCTCTTTTCCCAGTGTTCTGTTATCAGTGCAAAAACTAAATATAGTTCAACTGCTAGATTCCAAATACCTTAGAGCTCTGTATCCGTTACATTGGGAATAGATTTAATAAGCATCTGAGTAAGTTTCTCTGGCTGGTCTTGGAATACCAAGACAAAGAACACAATTAAATGTGCATTGTAATGACTCTTTAAAGGCATTGTCTGAGATCACAGAAGTTTAGCAGACATTAACATTCAGGAACTTTTGTTGTTTATCTGAATTGATGTAGATCCCTTGACATTTAGGCAATTTTGATATGATTAGGAAATATATTGGCTTTATTCTTAAATTCACATTGCACATGCTAAAACCAATCTGGTTAAATCAGTAGGACTCAAAACAATGTTTTAATACTGATTATAACCTTGTTTAAAAAAATTGAAATAATTTTGTATTTTGGGTCTGCTGTCAATGGCAAATGATTAGCAGTACATTCTGTTGGGGAAAAACTTATTAGAGTCAATGTTTGACTGTCATGTGAAAACTCTTAAATAATTACTTAATAAAAAGATTTGGGTTCTGTGTGTGTCACTTGTGAATTTGAAGGCGTGTATGCCTACATAAAAGGTAAAGTAAATGAATTTACATTTGGAAGGGCTAACAAATACCATACTTTCCTGCCTGTGTTCAGACAGCATTCTTATCCAGGACCAGGTGACTGTATTTGTATAAACTGATTCATGCTAAACTTGGTTGGGATTTTTATGGCTTAGCCACTTTTGCAAACATGAATTCAAACTGCATGAATTCAAAAATGGTTAAATCAGAGACAAGATTAAATATATTGGGTATGTCAACACAGCTACTTTGCACATTTTCTACAAACCTTTAGCTGGATCTCTAGGGGAGGGGGAGAAATCAATATTGGCAGTTTTACATTGCCATTAGCAGAGGGAAGCAGCCATCTGGTCCCAACTGTCAGCGATCTACTAGCTGGCAAAATAGGGACACTCTGAGTGGGCACAAGAAACTTCCTTCCTTCTCTTTTTTATGAAGAAAAAAAAAGGAGGGGGGAGATTTCTTAATTCACAAACTGGAAACTTTGAATATTTCTCCAGTTTGGAAGGGAAGATTTTTTTACTCTCAGCTATTGGCTATGTTAAAAATGAACAATATTTAGTTCCGGCTTTATGAGCTTCAGATTCACAATACCAAGCGATAACACTTCGAAATCTGCAGACCCTTCAGGGGTGTCAAACTGCCGGCCTGCGGGCCGGTTTCATCATACCGAAGCCGCGCCCACCCCATTGTCGGCAATGCAAAAAGAGTTGTGATACGTCGTGACACGTCACATGATGTGGCGAGTTTGACACCCGTGCTGTAGAGCAGGAGTCCTCAACCTTGGCAACTTTAAGACTTGTGGACTTCAACTCCCAGAATTCCTCAGTGACCACTGGCTGAGGAATTCTGGGAATTGAAGTCCACAAGTCTTAACGTTGCCAAAGTTGAGGACCCTTGCTGTAGAGAAACTGTTTTAGAGTGCATTTATGAGTTATTAGCAAGTGGAAGGCTAGTCCTATGGCTGGTTTCTGAAGTTGAAGCATATTGGGATGATTTAATGGGTAGTGATGAAAAGGATACCATTTTGTGGCTTTTGTGATCAACTGTGAAAGAAAGAGAGTTTAACTAAAATATTTTCAGAAAAGATTATTTATGGATTTAATGGCAAAACTAATATCTTTTAAAGTGATTTTTGCTTCTTTGTCCATGTTATAGTAGTCTGAAAATAAACAATCACTATATGAAACAGAATAAATAAATAAAATACATTTAATAAAATGTAATCCTTTGAATGTAGCATATCATAAGCTAGCTTTTTCCAAATACATACACACCTTGTTCTATATTTTAAATTACTTAGAGAAAATAGGAAATTTTATTTCATTTTACATTTTACAGGTGCTTTTCTGAATGAGCTCTAAAGTGCCTGAGCCTTCAACTCAACATGATGTTCTTAAAATATTTTTGACTACAACTCCCAATGCTTGTAGAACACAACTCCTATGACAGTCAGTTGTGATTCACAATATGTGCAGAACATTAAGCTGCTCTCAGTAATTTATACTGTTTGCTACTGTTTGTTGTTTAAGAATTTTCATTTGACATCATGGAGTCTTAAAAAGTAACACCTGTATAAATTTCTCATGATAAGGTAACAGTGAGACATATTATCTTATCTGTCTGACCTTGGCAGTTATTTATTTGACATTTTTCATATCTTTCAGATACAACAGCCCAGTACCTAAGTTGCATACAGGAACCTCTGCTAAATCCGAATTGGATTTTTGTACCAAAAGAGATCTTCTATCGTTTTGAAAGAAATGTGTTGCTCTGAAATTCACAGCAATAGCACTAGTATAGAAAATTGAAAAACAAGTACTGTACAAAGCATAAGAACTAATCAATATATACTGCTCAAAAAAATAAAGGGAACATTTTACCATGGAAATGAAGGGGTTTGCGTTCCCTTTATTTTTGTGAGCAGTATATATTATTGCTAGACTAGAAAATCCAGATGTCAGCTAAAGGAGATAGATGGCACATGACAGTTCTGAAAATACTTTTGTTTTTCACTAAGGTATTCCTTTTCCTTGCTAAATATAATAAAAATTACAATGCTCCTACTTTAAAAACAGCAATATCTACTTAACATCCATTTAAGTTGCCTAGCACCAATCAGGAAAAAAATGTTAAATCCCCAAATAATGTATGAAATATATTTAAAAGTAAAGAATTTCACATTATTATAAATGATTCTTTGCTCTATTTAGAATGTCACTTGTGGCAGATTATTTAACAGCATTGATTTTAGCTAATCAAAATACAATTGGGATTAAACCTGGCTCAAGTAAAGCAATCAGTTGAGATTCCATTTTCATTAGAACATGCATTGTGAAAATTTGTTACCTTTTTTTATTTTTATTAGCTATAAAAATGCAAATAATACATTTTGGCCTTGACCTTCTTCTTTTACCCCTCTGTTTGGTAAATCACAATGTGATTAATTATTATCAGGAATTCAATGTGAAGAACCTTGCAAAGCTGAATATTTAATTAACCTAAAGAAATTAAGAAAGGACACTTAGTTTATTTGTGCCTTCTTTGATCAGAGTTCATATTATGCTGCCATTTTGCTGATTGCCTGTAACAAACAGATTTTATTTTTAAAAAAGAGACAGGAATTATTCAAATCTTCCTTCCTTCCTTCCTTCCTTCCTTCCTTCCTTCCTTCCTTCCTTCCTTCCTTCCTTCCTTCCTTCCTTCCTTCCTTCCAATAAAACAATAGTACATGAAAAGAACAAATGTGTGTATTGGAATTAACAGTGCCAGAAATTATTAACACTGTAAATCCTAGTAGAATCATGCTTGTCATTATCCACCTCTGTATACTCAAACAATGATGCTTGACAAAGTAGCATTCTTGACTGTGAGGAGTTTTGATTTGCATTGAAGTGAATACATGGAGAAACTCTTTGCAATGCTTCCAGCTCAGTGTAGGAAGATGTTTTGCCAAATGTCAGGACAGTGATCAGGTGCCCAGGCAATTGTTTCTTTTGGATTCAGAGACAATAACCACACCAGTGAATAAAGGGGCTTTAAGCTTTTTTGTTAGCTCAGCCAAACAGAGTTAAAAGCAAAACATAATAAGCAAGATGATACCCAAATCTCTTACAAGTTGCCAGCAGCTTCTTAATGCTACCTGAGATGCCCTGAAGGTAGCCAGTTTCCACAGCCCCAGTTTCTACCTTGGTCTGTGCAGAAGCTCCCAACAACAACAACCTCAAGGTTTTTATTAAAACCTGGCTGATTTCATGGCCCTGCTATCGTCAGGAGATCGCAAGACCTGATAGTTACTGGCTGGCACATAACTCTGGGATGAGAATTGAAAGTCTAAGACAGTGATGGTGAACCTTTTAGAGACCGAGTGCCCAAAACCCGCCCTGCTGCCCCACCCGCGCCCACTCCACCCTCGCCCGCCCTGCTCCTGCTCTGTCTGCCCGCAGGGCCACCGACCACCTCCATGGCCTGCCACAGATTGCCCAGGTGGCCCAGCAGCGCCAAGGCAGCCACGCTCTCCATCTGCACCCATCTGCGTGCGATAAGGTGCAAGGGTGGAGTCTTATCCCTGCTGCCCAGCTGCCATGTCCTTGGCCGTGCTACTCTGCGTGGGCCGTGCCCGGGGGCAACTCTCCTCCAGAGGGGCGGCTGATGAAGAGGGAGCCGCGGGGGGAGGTGGGGCTGGGGCGACGGCACACGTGCCCACAGAGAGGACTCTGAGTGCCGCCTCTGGCATGCATGCCATAGGTTCGCTACCACTTGTCTAAGACTTTCACAGCGAAAAAACTTTGAAGCTACATGATTATCCTCCCCTCCCCATTTTAGTTATTCAGTAAAAATCCAAGCAGGCTAGTGCAAAATGACTTTATTTAATATGAAG